GCGTCACTTTCTGCAGCAACAATGTGGTCCATCACTTTTTCTGTGATGTTCCAGCAGTCATGTCTCTCTCTTGCTCTGATAAACATTTTGGCGAAGTGGTTCTTCTTTATGTAGACACCTTCAATGTCTTTTCTGCTCTTTCAGTTATCTTTGTATCCTACATATTCATTTTTATCACCATCCTAAAGATGCGCTCATCTGCAGGCTATCAGAAGGCTCTGTCCACATGTGCTTCTCACTTTACTGCCATCACCATTTTCTATGGGACAATCATGTTCATGTACTTACAGCCCGGCTCCAGCCATTCCATGGACACAGACAAAATGGCGTCCGTGTTTTATACTATGGTCATCCCCATGCTGAACCCTATAGTCTACAGCCTGCGGAACAAGGAGGTCAAGAATGCAATCAAGAAGTTGGGTGAGAAGGCAAAATTGTCTCTGGGGTTATGATTTGACATTGTTTGTGGCATTAATTAACTACTTTTGTTCCTTTCAATCATCTTCACGTGCTGACTTACAATTTAAGTTACACCTGTAAGTCTTATAGTGATACCTTCACCTTTCCTAGTCTATTGTCTAGAATGAAGAAACATGACATCAATGGATGTGTAATTAAGAATGGCAAAGGAGAGAGGGGTTTCCCGGGTGACAAGGGTTAAGATGCAGCACTGCAAGCTAGTCTCAGTTGCTTCAGTACTATTTCAATTCCCACCCTGGAGGTGATCCACATGGTGCTGCAGACCTCTCCTGTCTCACCAGCTGTTCCTCTCAGCAGTGTTCTTTGTTGATCTGCCTGTCCTGCTCCCCACTCTGTCTCCAGTGAAGGCTCTCACTGCCCCTGCACTTCTGACCTATACCCAGTTCTGTATGTATAAATAATAAATCTTTTTTAAAAAATGACAAAGGGGAATGGCATAAAATGTTGCTCCAAATATCAAAAATATGTTAGGGATATCTGACTAATTTACTTATTCCAGATGCCTTTTTTCTGCCTCATCCACTACAAATATATGTGAGTAAAAATTAGCAATAGGTAAATGAGAGTATTATTTTGATAAAATTAATTTAAATAATAAATTGCTATATGGATATATAAAAATACCAAAGTTTCTTTGTAGTAACTAATCTACGAATCCTAGGTTGAGAGAAAAAATGGGATACAGTTATGATACTATTGCTTATTTCACTTGCATATTTTATTGACTGATAAAGACTTGTCATCATAAATGAATCACAATTCTACTTGTCTTTGTCCTTTTGTTGGACTGATGGTTTGTCACACTACTTTTCAAAAGGAAAATAGCCTAACACAAAAAAAAGAAAGTGAAGTATTTTCAATTTTTTTATAGTTGACTACTTGCACATTCTTTAAAAATTGCACTGAAAAGGTGATAATGTATTTTAAGTCTACAAATATTTAGAGTTGTGTTGCTTTTAGTTGTGAATTTGGTTAAGTTGAATTCTATCTTTTCATCCCCCCAGTTTTCATCAGTCAATTCACAATGATTTTTCACAATTTCCTCACATTTCAAAAGAAGCTTCAACATCATAGATTTTGTCTTTACTGTGAAGACTCTGCATGTAACACTTTTTTCCCAGATGTTGTCTTCAATAATCACCTTCAGAAATTCTAATCTTCCACTCCATGTGCACTATCCCCTCATCCTGGGTGATTCTCCATACTTACATTGCCTTTGTCTAACTATATATTATTTCCTCACTAGTATATTTTCTATCTCACAACTAGACTAAAATTCCAAGACATCACTGACAATTTCACTAAAATGATCCTCACACTTATATGTGTGAGTTGTTTAGTAGATAATCAAATATAATTGCAAACTGACTACATGAAATAAATGTTGGAGTCTGTTCGACCTGTCGAATCTTTGAACCATTGATAACAGGGCATCAGCAATGTAGAGCAGCAGATAGGCAGTCACAGTATCACAAGCTATTGAACAGGATAGCTTCCTAGAAAACCAACTCAACAGTGTCATCATGAGCCACCTCATGAGTAGAGCCTCATTTGTCTTTAGGACTCTTCAATGAGAGGTATGCACTATTATTATTCCTCCATTACAAGGGTAGTGAAGTGTGGAAAGATTGAACGACTTGGCCAAGATCATCCTGTGAACCATGACAGAGCTAAGACATAGATAGCTCCCCGTGACTTCACAGCTCATGACAACTCACTGAAATGCCTTGTGAAAGAGATAATTCTGCCCAAGAGTTTGTTAGTGGGCATGGTGTGCTGCATACATTTAAACAAATATGAAACTATACCCCTGAGTCATAGTGTTGTAAACCTCAGGAGTGTTATATGTTCTGCCATAAGAAATAATAATAATAAACATTCACCTAAAAATTAAAGACAATGAAATGACAAAAATGAACAGAAGAGCCTAGCAGACTCTTCAAAAACATGCAGATGGCTGGGAGTACAAAAAGAAGTGCTCATCGCCATGTATCATCAGGGACGTGCAAATCAAAACCTCCTGGGGTCCCACCCCACCCTGTGAGTCTGGCCCATCTCAAAAAGACCTGACAGAGGTGATGAGGATGGTTTTGAAAAAGAGGTACCTCATGCATTCTTGGTGGGAACAGGTCATCCACAGTGTTGTAAATGTTGTCACATCTATAAAAATACAGTGGAGTTGTAGGGACAGGATCAGCATACAAACTTCAGCTGTTCTATAGACACAAGCAATGAACCTGAAAATGAGATGAAAGAAGCAACTGTGTTCACAATAAATATGAAAGAGTAAATGAAGGATTGAGAGATAAAAATTAGCCAAACAGATATGAATGAATTGTGCTCTGACAACTCTGAATAATGTTGAGAAGAATACCAATGGATCTAAATAAATTTAAAGTACCCATGTTGTTGGGAGGTTTTCTATTTTCTTGTTGTGAAGTGTAGAATTGTGTTTAAGAGAAATTTTCTAGAAGTCTAATCTTTGTTAGCTGAGATTTCTGAAGGCTGCAAGTTTTTGTGTGAACCCTGAGTAGTAGGACAGGTATTGCTTTGAACTACACATCTGTTCCTCAATGAACATTCACTCATCTATTTTCCAGATCCGACAAATTTGATTCAGAGGGTATTTGCTTAATGTTTCAGATCGCGAAAGGGGTGGACACTTCAGGCATACTGTTTTGTTATACTTTATGACTTTCTCCTATAAAGACACTGATTTTTAGAGTTAGGCTACCATAATCAAGGCAATTACATCCTCTTAATGCTCTTAGTATAATTACACATGCACTGTATTCTGACTCAGGTAATATTTACAGAATCCAGGAGTTGACCTGACCTGTTGAGAACCTTCATTCAGCCCCAGCTGGTTTCTGTCTCACACACACTCTGCACCCAGGAGCCTGGCCAAGCGCAAGGCCCTCTGTTTGCTCAGTCAAAGCTGTGGAGGCTTCCCCGTCACAGCTACAGTGTCCAGAAGGAAGCATCTTCAGTCACCAGCGGGAGAGGGAGAGCTGGAGAGGAATGGGTGTGCTTCTCCTCACCCAGAAAGACACGTGTCAATTCTGTCTAAGCCCATGGTCACCACTGACACATGTCCATTGTACACATAATGGGCACCACTTTAGGGAAGCAGATGTAATTTTTAAATTCTGTTATTTTGTTACCCACACTGTATTAAGAAATAGTTTATGTGAATATTGAACATTTCAGAGCACTTGATATGCACTAGATTATTTTCTCTGTTTTGTATTATGGGACCTGCAAATCTTGACAAATCTAAGAAGTTTGCATGATATCATTTTCCTCCTCTTACCCATGAGAAGCTGGAATTCAATGACTTAAATTACTTAAACAATTTCATGCCTAATCACACTTGTACACAGTGCAAATGTGTAACCACCTCACATGCCAGCAATGAGGAATTTGTGATAATTCTGCTTGGGAGTATGATCTTAGAAAACAGACACAGAGAAAATTAGTCTATAGGTTTTGTTTAAAGAGAAATCATTTTCAGGCCATGATGATACGGGTAACACAAGATGAATAATGAAACAAATTGTTAAAAGTATACTCATGAGATCCTTGATAAAAAGAATAAAAGAACTAAAATACAAATTAAATTAAATTTTAACATGCTTTGTTATCACTTTGTTTATAATGACCAAACACTGGAAACAATATAAAAGGTTGCCAGCTGAGGAAAGAAGAAACTTGGGGTCCACAGCATGGAAGACTACTTTGCAATTTAAAATTCCACTAATACAGGTAAGAATGTGTCGTTAGCCAAATTACATTAAGCGAAAAAATGCAAGTCTCAAAGACTGTGGATTCTAAGGCCCTACTCTAGGACATTCTCACAAACTCAACTTACATGAAAAAAGCAGGTCAGTGATTATGACAGTGTTGAAGGAACTGAATGCATTAAAAAGCATGCACAAGATGGTTTCACTCATAGCAGGAGTATAATGGACCAGGCAAGAAAATAACAAAAATAATGAACAACCATATACCAGAGGCATTTTGTGGGGGTGGAGTGGAGAATGGGATCAAAAATGGGGGGAGGGAAATGCACAGGACTATGGTGGTGGCACAGGGGTGATTTGGTGATGGGAAACCCGCAGGGATTACAATCAAGATGGAAAAAAAAAATGTGCAAAATGATGTAAAAATAAACTTTGTAATAAATTAAAAAAAAAAGCATGCACACTAATCTCTGCAAGCTGCTCATTAAAAATGAAAATAATATGAAATAACAATGGAAACACAGCTATACAATCTAAAATTATGCTCTGTGGTTCCCACAGGCAGTTTGATTATTTCATCATTTGATAAGTAGAGTGAGAACCAGAGGTGGCCTCAGGGGGGACATCCCCTGAGAATCTCATGTCTTTATAATCCATTCTCAGTCCCTTTGTGCTACCCCCGGTATCCACCGTGACTTCTGCAGCTTTATTCACAATAGCCAGACGTTGGCCCCAGACCCACTGAATGTAATGTGTTCCCCTGACTACTGATGGTTTGCACAGCAGACCCTGTCCTGATCTCAGGAGGAACTTGCAGCCACGGCCAGGGAAAATCTCCAAGGTAAAAATAATATCAAATGATTTTAAAATGAAGCCCCTAAACCCAACAAGTTGTTTTAAGACTTTGCCTTGTTATTTGAAAGCACATTTCCGTGAATTACTTGAATTACGCTTATTTTATAAATAAAGAGGAAGCAAGAATGAAAACATGATAGATCAAGACTTGAACCCACATTCATGCGTTTTTCTCTGTGTTTTCTCCCACAGAAATAATGGAACCTGTGCCCACAGCTGCTCAGAGCTTCTCCAGCAGACTCTGTGCATTATTCCCGGGCTGGATTATTTTTCATCTCAAACATACTAGTTAGGATTGCCATTTGTTTTCAAGTAGAAGGTGAGTCCTATATACAATGTATGTTTTTAGAGAAAATTGTTTTTGGAACTCTGAATTACTCATTCTTGTGAGACTCACAATGTAAATGAAAATGGTAGCTAGTAACTACCCAGCTTGCAAGTTATTGAGAAGAATCAGTCAACACATTTGTAGTATCTAAGCAGACTAAAATTTAATTTAGTCTAGTGAAAGCTCAGCTCTCATTTACACATTCCACAATTGTTCTGTTGGAAAATTCACTAAACATTTCAAGTCTCATTCTGTTGGAAAATTCACTAAACATTTCAAGTCTCAGTCTAAAATATAAATGATTGGTTTGGTGATCCATGAAGATACCCTATTTATCAGTTTAGAACTACAACTAATTTATACCTAAAATTACACATTGAAGGTCATGTCATGTATAGAGAGTCTTGAGACACATACTCTTGCTATAATGAAATAATGACCCTGGTATATAAACATTGAAGTTTCATTGTAATTTCCATTCTAACTCTCTATTCCTTTATAACTTACTGCTGTACAGCATCTGATTGCTAAGCAACCTCCATGGAGAACACCACAGAAGTGACCCAGTTCATCCTTCTAGGACTGACCAAAGACACAAACCTACGAGTCCCACTTATAATGATGTTCATGCTCATATATGCCATAAATGCCATCGGGAACCTGGGAATGATCACGTTGATTATTTTGGACACTCGTCTCCACACGCCCATGTACTTCTTCCTCAGTAACCTGTCCCTCATAGACTTCTGTTACTCTACAGCTGTCTTCCCTACAGCCATGGCTGGGTTACTCATAGGAGACAAGGTCATCTCTTACAATGCATGTGTGGCTCAGATGTTCTTTTTTGCAGTCTTTGTCACGGGGGAAGTTTACATCTTGGCTGCAATGGCCTTTGACCGCTATGCAGCCGTGTGCAAACCCCTGCATTACACCACCATCATGACCACAGGTGTGTGTGCCTGTCTGGCCACAGTCTGCTATGTTGCTGGTTTCCTGAATGGCTCCATCCAAGTTGGGGAAGCTTTCAGCGTCACTTTCTGCAGCAACAATGTGGTCCATCACTTTTTCTGTGATGTTCCAGCAGTCATGTCTCTCTCTTGCTCTGATAAACATTTTGGCGAAATGGTTCTTCTTTATGTAGACACCTTCAATGTCTTTTCTTCTCTTCTGGTTATCTTTGTATCCTACATATTCATTTTTATCAGCCTCCTAAAGATGCGCTCATCTGCAGGCTATCAGAAGGCTGTGTCCACCTGTGCTTCTCACGTCACCGCCATCACCATCTTCTTTGGGACACTCATGTTCATGTACTTACAGCCCGGCTCCAGCCATTCCATGGATACAGACAAAATGGCGTCTGTGTTTTATACATTGGTCATCCCCATGCTGAACCCTATAGTCTATAGCCTGCGGAATAAGGAGGTCAAGAATGCAATCAAGAAGTTGGGTGAGAAGGCAAAATTGTCTCTGGGATTATGATTTGACATTGTAGGAGACATAATTAGCTACTTTCATTCTCTCAATCTTCTTCATGTGCTCAATTGCAATATAAGACTCACCATTAAGTTCCAAAATGATATACTACCTTTACTAAATTCTGTTTCCTAGAATGAGGAATCATATTCTGCAAATGAAGTCTAAACAATAATGGATAATAAGAAGCATAAAATGTTTGGTTCTATGTGTCAAAAATACATATTGGAGACATTTTATTTATTCACTTGTTCTACATGCATTTCTCTGGCACATGCACTATAATACATGTAAGCTGCAAATTAGTAAAAGGTAAAAGAGAGTATTATTTTTAACAAAAATTTGAAATTGGGATATTAATATATAAAATGTACCAATGGTTTTTAGCAGTTAAATAATCTAAAAGTCCTAAATTGAGGGGGAAAAGGGATACAGTCATCTTACTTTGTATTTATTTCACTGGCATATTTTACTCAAATAGAGACTTGTCATCATAATTGAAACAAAAATTCTACTTTGTCTGAGTCATTTTGTTGGCTGATATTTTCTCATACTACTTTACAAAAGGAAAATAGCCACATCACCAAAAAAAAGAAGAAAAATAAAACATTTTAAAATTCTTTATAGAAAACTACTTACTTGCACATTGTTTAAAAATGCTCAGAAACATCAATAATGTATTTTAAGTCTATAAGTACTTAGATGGTTATGTTGCCTATAAATTGTTAATTTTGTTAAGTTACATTATATCATCTCACTTGCCAGTTGTTCACCAGTTAATTCACAGTGATTTTTTCATGATTTCTTCACAAGTTCAAAATAAGCTCCTACTTCAGGGACTTTATCCTTGCTGTGAAGGCTCTGCATGTGACACTTTTATTCCCAGATGTCATGTTCAAAAGCCATCTTTATAAATTTGTATCACCTACCCCATGTGCACTAACCCCTTGTTCTATGTGATTCTTAATAGTTTGATTATCATTGTCTAACTATATATTATTTCCTCACGGGTATATTTTCTCTCTCTACAGTTAGACTAAGAATTCAAAGACATCGCTGTTGCTTTAACATGTCATTAAAATTATCCTCATACTTAAATATGTGAGCTGCTCAGTAGATTCTCAACATACAGTTGTATGCAACACAGAAATAAAGGTTGGAGTCTAATTGTCCCACGTGTTGAATTTTTCAACTGCAGATATAGGGCATCAGCAATGTAGACAGATAGACAGTCACAGTATCACAAGCTATTGAACAGGATAGCTCCCTAGGAATCCAGCTCAACAGTGTCATCATGAACCACCTCAATAAGTAGAACCTCAGTTCATCTTTAGAACTCTTCAATGATGGATGTGCACTATTCTTACCCCTCCATTATAGGGGTAGTGGAGTGTGAGAGATTGAAATACTTGGCCAAGCTGTCCTATAAACCATGACAGAACCAGGATGAAGATAGCTCCCTGTGACTGCACAGCCACACTGGAATGCCTTGTGAAAGAGATAATTCTGCCCAAGAATGTGTTAGCGGTTGTGACATAACAGTTAAAGAAATATGAACATATCCCCCTGAATTATAGAGTATTGTAAACCTTAACACAGTGTTACGTGTCATGTCATTAAACAAATAAGACAAACATTTATCAAAAAATTAAAGATTATGAAATGATAAAAATGGACAGAAGAACTAAATAGACTCTTCAAGAATGTCAGATGGCCAAGAGATGTGTGAAAAAGTGCTCATCATCACTTACCATCTGGGACATCAAAACCTCAGGAGGCCCCAGCTCAGCCTGTGAGTCTGGCCCATCCGAAAAGGACCGACACAAATGATGAGGAAGGTTAGGGATAAAGGAATCTCATGCACTCTTGGTGGGAATAGTCACCCTCAGTGTTGTAAAACATTGCTGCAAAGGTAACAGTACAACTTTCAAAAAGAGTTTTGTTAGGTTACAGGGGACATGAGAAGCATGTAAAATTTAGCTAATCTATACACAAGCAATGAACCCAACAATGAAATGAAGATACTGCACTCACAAAAAAAAAAAAATATATAGAGCAAATAAACAATTGAGAGTAATTTCTCCAAAGATATGACTGAATTATACCTTGAAAGCTCTAAATAGTGATGAAAAGAATTTCAATAGACCTATATACATTTTAAAAACTTCATTTTGATGGGAGGGTTTTTTGCTTGTTTGTTTCTTGTTGTGGGATGTAGATTTTTGTTTAGCAACTTTTCTAGAGCAAAGACTAGCTGAGTCATGGACAGGTTTTGCTTTGAACTCCACATCTGCATCACCATATTCCTCGCTGAACGTTCACCAGCTTACTTTCAGAGTCCTAACAAATTCAATTGGAAAAATATTTCCTTGATGTTTCAGAAACCATTAAAGGGTGGACCCTTGAAACATACTGTTTGATATTTTTTTTATGCCTTTCTTTTTTTAAAGACACTAATTTTTAGAGTTAGGCTACCATAATCTAAGTGACTACATCCTCTTAGTGATCTTAATATAATACATGTGCACTGTATTCTGACTCAGGTAATATTTACAGAATCCAGGAGTTGACTGACCTGTTGAGAACCTTCATTCGGCCCCTGCTGTTATCTGTCTCACACACGCTCTACACGCCCTCACCCAGGAGCCTGGCCGAGCCCAGGGCCCTCTGTGTGCTCAGTCAAGACTGTGGAGGCTTCCCGGCCACCACTGCAGTGTCCAGAAGGAAGCCTCTTCAGTCACCAGCGGGAGAGGGAGAGCTGGAGAGGAATGGGTGCGCTTCCCCTCACCCCGAAAGACACGTGTCAATTCTGTCTAAGCCCATGGTCCACCTCGGACACATGTCCATGGTACCCGAAATGGGCAGGCACATGGAGGGAAGCAGATGCAATGATGAAACTCCATTATTCCGTGATGCAGGTTGTAGCAAAATGTAATTTGAGTTAATCTTAATATTGAACATTTCAGAGTACCTGGTATGTATTAGATATTTTCTCTGGTTTTATGTATGGGACCTACAAATCTTTTGAAATCCTAGAGGATGGCATGATATCGTTATCCTCCTCTTGCCCATGTGAAGCTGGAATTCAATGATTAAAATACTCGAGCTAATTGACGCCTAATCACACTCGTAAGCACAGCAAGCCTGTCACTGCCCCCGTGCCTCTGATGAGGAGGCTGCGATAATTCTGCTTGGGAGCATGAGCTTGGTGACCAGGTAGAGAGAAAATGGATCCGTGTGCTTTTGTTTAAAGAGAAATCAGGGCCCTCCCTGGTGGCGCAGCGGGTTAAAGCACAGCACTAAGAAGCATAAGCCACTCCCTCATGAGTTCTATCCCCACCTGCCCCGGAGGAGCTCCACATGGCACGGCAGACCTCTCCTGACCCGCCCGCTGCTCCCCTCAGCAGTGTACCTCGTCATCTGCCTGTTCTGCTCCCCACTCTGTCCCTGGTGAATCCTCTCACCCTTCGCATCTCTGGCCTGTACCCCAGTTCTGTATAAATAAATAAATAAATATTTTTTTAAATAAATAAAAAATAAAGAGAAATCATTTTCAGGTCATGATTATAGTGGTAACACAAGTTGAATAATAATACAAATTGTTAAAGGTAATCAAAACATCTTTGATAAAGAGAATAAATAAAAATAAATATAAATCAAATTAAATTTTAAAATGTAAGTACCCAGTGCTACAAGGATCTGAGGAAGCCAGAATGTGCTTACGGTTGGGGGTGTGCGATTGTGAGGTGATTCATAGAGTTTTAAAATTTCTACTCAATTCAGCCTATTTACCAAAGTCTCAAAACAAGTTCCTGGTAATTATCCAAATGAAATAAAAACTTGTGATTGTACAAACATTTTAGACATGCTTTTTTATCACTTTGTGTATAATAGCCAAACACTGGAAACAAAATAAAAGGTTCTCAACCGAGGAAAGAAGAAAAATATATAAGGTCACGAGGAAAGAAGAAAAAAATATAAGGTCACGGCATGGAACGCTACTTTGCAACTTAAAATATCACTATAGTGACAGGTGACAATGTGCCTTAAACAAAATTAGGTAGAGTGAAAAATGCCAGAACCTCAGACTGAATTCTAAGGCCCTAGTTCAGGTCATTCTCACAGCGACAAACAAATGAAAAAAGCAGATCAGTTATAACAGCATTGACTCCAAGGGAACTGAGGGGTCAGAACGCTAAAAATATATATTAAAGATTTGTGTATTAGTCTCTGCAACTTGTTAATTAACTATGAAATAATATGAAATAACAAAGCAAACACATCTGTACACCCAAAATTATGCTCTGTGGTTCCCATAGGTAGTCTGATTATTTCATCATTTGGAATGGAGGGAGAACCGGAGGTGGCCTCAAGGGGAACATCCCCTGGGAATCTCGTGTCTTTACCATCCATTCTCGGTCCCCTTGTGCTGCCCAGGTATGCACCATGACTTCTGGAGCTTTATTTACGATAACCAGGCTTTGACTCCAGACCCACTGAGCATCATGTGTGCCCCTGAATGCTGATGGTTTACACGGCAGACCCTGTTCTGACCTTAGGATTCCTATGAACTTGCAGCCATGGCCAGTCCTCCAAGGTAAAAATCATATTGAATGATTTTAAAATGAAAGCTCTAAACCCATAGAGTTGTTTCATAGACATTAGTTTGTTATTTGTAAACACATTCTGTGGGCTATTGAAAGAAGTAATTGTATTATGCTTTATTTTATAAATAAGGAAAAGGCAAGGTTGAAAATACATTAGATTCAGACTTGAACCCACATTCATGGTGTTTTTTCTCCATTGTTTCCTCCTCAGAGACATTGGAACCTGTGCCCAATACTGCTCAGAGCTTCTCTAACCGACTCTATGCATTATGTCATGGCTGGATTGTTTTTATCTCAAACATACTATTCAGGATTGAGTGCTGTTTGTTTTCAAATAGAAGGGGAGCTTCTACTCATTATGTATGCTTTTAGTGAAAGATGTGTTTGTGGAACTCTGAA